CAATGTATGCATTTCCATCTGGTTATAGTCCCCATACAATTCCCACCCCCTTGTTTTGATCCTACTCCCCACCCCCGGTGTGTCTCTGGTTTATAGTTGCTTGTTGATTTTGATTTTTACTTTATTATAATTAGGCTTTTTCCTGGTCCCTTATTTAGGTTTTCTAAATTCCTGCTATGATGTAAAAAATGTTTAAAATTTAAAAAAAAAAAATCCCATTTAACAGATTTTCTGGAAATTGCCCTTTCTGAGCTTTGGTGGATGGATTGAAGGAAAGTAAGACTGAAGGTGAGAAACCAGGGGATGCTGGTATTGTCATCTGAATGCGAGCTGGAGACATTACAAAATTCTGTAGGCTTTGGGGAATTCAGAGGGAAAGATGCCTATCCAGTTTCTGACCAGATCAGAGATTCCGTCAGTGTTTGCTGGGGGTAGTTGGTTGTGGAAAGTGGGTAATGAGATACTCAGGTGAGAAAATCAGGAGAGTGAGGGTAATAACCCCTAGGAGGCAGAAATTGTAGAGGTTTCATTAAAGAAGACAAAAGAATTAGAGGGAGACTCTTGGAGATTTGCAATCTTGAAGAAAGTTTTTTTGGGAATCAAGAATTTTTCATTTCTATAACTGTTCTAACAATTATGTTAATCATTTCTGCCCCCACCTCCAGTTTCTGGTCTTGAGAAGCCTCCATCCTTAATTTTTTACTCTACTCCATCACTGCCACCTATTTCTGGGTTCCTTACTACTTGGTGATGCCTTGTTTAGCCAAAACTCTGTAACTAACTGGTTACCACTCTTGGAAGAACATCTTAAAGCTTCTTAAGTGCCTCAGAGAAATTATATCTTCCTATCTGAGAAATGTGTCTGTGCCATTGTTACATAGCTGTGTATTCCTGTGTGTATTTTTTAAACTAAATTTCTTCATCTACCTTGAAGTAATGTTGTAACTACAGACCTATAATTTACTCTACTTTTAAGCTCTTCCTTCTGATAAACTTATCTATTCATTTTAGGTCTAATTATAGCTCAGGGTGTAACTATGTGTATTATTCATCTGAATGACTGAGCTTGTCTGGCAACAAGGAGCTGTTGTTGCCAAAGCTTTATTGTCATCTGGCCTGAATTTACTCTGTTTATACTTCATGTCTGCTTCAGGAGAGCTTCAGGGAAGGTGGGGAGACTGCTGTATTCTGGTCCCTGGTACTACTGCTTCTCATTATATTGTAACACTTCGCAGTAAGCTTAACAACTATGATTTTATTTTTACTTCATTTTTTTAAATAAGAGAAAGCCTGCACTAGAGATAATATTGAACTCTCCTACATTCCCCATATCCAAATCTGTTTCTACCTGTTACCCCACTCCACATCTTCCCTGTTCCTTGCACAACCACTATCATGAAATTAGGTTTATCTTCCCAGCTAATTTCTTGAAATATTTTGACAAAGATATGTACTCATAAACACTGTAAAATGCTGTTAAGTTTCTAATTTACTACAATAGGATTGTTAGTGGGTAGAATGATGGGTACGCCTGGGTCCCCAAACCTGCCTGCTCTAAATGGGTTCTGCCTTCCACCACATAAAGACAAACATACTCTTAGAGCATAAGATCTTTAATTAAAAAAAAAAAAAAGAATTTTAATAGAATTAGTGTACAGTATAGAGAAGAGAAAGAATATAGTTAAAATAGTTGCCAGTCAAACATCCAAAGTTACGCATCCCCTCATGAATAAATGCCCAGCCAAAGAGGATTAACCCAAAGCAGGGCCACTGAGGGCTGAAAGCTTGCCACAGGTCTAAGGCACCTTCTGATGGGTCTAAGGAAAGGGGCAGAAAGGGCCAGGCAAGTCTGCAAGGAAAAAGCAAAATAAAAATTAAGATAAAGGCTGCCATTGTCAGCCTCCACACAGGTCTCTTACCCCATCTCTTTCTCATTCAAGTGTCCCCTTCCATGTCCTCCAAGTCCCTGGCATAAATCCAATGCTGCAAAGTAAACACTGCTTTTTCTTCACCTGTCATATGTCTCTCTGCCTTCTCAGATCTCCTTCTGGTCTCCTTTTAATCTCCTCTATCAGTCCTCTTCAGCTTCTCCTGATGCACAGCTCAGTAGCTGGGTCAGGGAACCTGGAATCTCCCCTTTCTGTGGGGATTACACTTTCAGGATCACATTATACATATGCTGCAACTTGCTGTTCTTCAGCATTTTGGTAGGCATTTTTAGCATCCTTTTTCTTATTGGGAAAATTTGGTGCATATATTAGAACATATCTAACACATTATAAAACCTAGTAATAAAATAATTAGCTCCTGAATTCACCAAGCATCTGAGAAGCAAAACCTCTCTAGAACATTGAACCACCTGTGTGCTGTGTCTCCATCTTTTGCTCCTATCCACGAAGCTACATTTTTGAACTTGGTTTTCATTCATCTTCCTCTTTACCACTCATGTATGTGCATGTCCCTCAACACTGTCTTTCCTTGTTTTTAAACTTTGTGAAAATAGTATATAGTATATGTTCCTTTTAGACTTGCCTTTTTATTCAATATATTTTTAAGATTCATCCATTTTAATATATATATATTCACTGCTGTGTTACAGTCCTTTGGGTAAATTTATCCATTTTTATGTTAATGGACATGTTTATGTTATGTTAATTTGTGCTGTTTCTGATTTTACTATTACAAATAGTACTTCTGTGGACATTCTTATACAGACATAAAAATTTCTTTGTAGTAAATGCAGACACACCTCATTTTATTGCACTTTGAAGATATTACGCTTTTTAAAAATTGACTGTGGTAACCCTGCATTGAACAAGTCTCCTTTGGGTGCCATGTTTCCAACAGCTGAGATTTTTTTTTTTGAAATAAATTATTTTCAATTAAGATGTACTTCTTTAGACATCTTGCAAACATTATAAATTATAATATACTGTAATGAAAATTTCATATGAATTAGAAAACAAAACATTCATATGCCTCCCTTAGTTGCAATACTTGCTTTATTGTGGTGGTCTGGAAACAACTGGTGATAGTTCTCAGGTGTGCCTATACCTAGGAGTGGAGTTGCTGTGTTGTAATATAAGGATATTTATATATATTCAATTTAACATTCTTATCCAAATCAATTGAAAATAGTCATCAGCAGTAGTTGTTTTTATCCATTTCCTCATTAAACCTTGGTTTTGTCAGCATTTAATTTTGCATATATAATTTGTGAAATAGTGAATTGTAATTTTATTTCCTTTCTTTGATTTTAATGAGATTGAACATTTTTCGTACTATAACTGGCTATTCATGTTTCCTCTTTTTGAAAATGACTCTTTTCTAATGAATCGTTGGTCATTTTCTTATTCACTCACAGGAATTTGTATACTCTAGGCACTAGAATTTGGTCAGTTTTGTATGATCCAAGTATCTTTTCTCAACTTGTGATTTGCCTTACAATTCTGACATAACCAGATTTCCACGTATTTGTGGAAAGGTTTTAGGTGATTCTTTGCTCTTCCACAAACATTTTAGAATCAACTTGTCAAGTTTTATTTAAAAAAAAAAACACAGCAACAACTGTTAAATGTTTGATTAGATTTCATTTGATGGATTTGGTGAAAATCTTTAGGCTGCTGGGTCTCCTGACCCATAAACTTGGTGTCTCTCTTTAATTCTCTTGAGTATACTTCAATAAATTTTATAGCTTTTCTCTAAAAATTTTACATATATTTTCATAAACTTGTTTATAAGTTCTTACATTTTAATATTACTGTGAAAGATTTTAAAATACTTTTTCTAGTGTTGATGTATTGAAATGTAGTTGATTTTTGAATATTGATCTTACATCCCCACTTTCCTAAACTTTTTTGAGTTTGCTACATCGTATGTACTTTTAGATTGTTTTCTGCTTGCATACTATAGATCTTCCCAGTTTATTTCTCCCATCTCAATCAGTATATCTTTGTTTTTACTTATATCCTTCGTGCTTTGATGACTATGATCTTTAGTACAGTGATGGTTAGATTTGAAGATAGTGGGCATCCTTATCATGTACTTCAATTTAAAGGCTGTGCTTTTAATGTTTTTTCCATTGAGTCTATTAGTTGCTGTGAGGTTTCTGGTGGATGCCCTTAATCAGGTTAAGTTTCCAATTTTGCTAAGAGTTTTTATCATGAATAGCTATTAAACCCATTGAGTGCTTTTTCAGTACCTGTTGAGATGATTTTTTTAATCTGTAGTGAAATGAATTACATTAATAATTTTCTATTAAACTATCCTTACAGTCCCAGAATAATTCCAGCTTTGTTAAGTTGCATACTTTTCTGATACACTGCTCAGCATTGATTTTTTTTTTTTTAGATAAAAACTGATCTCAAAATAAAAGGGTCCTTTAGAAGCTAAATCTTTATTGACAACACAATCCTTCCCAACAACCTTAATAGGGTTGCCCACTTTGCTACATAGTGTGAAAAGAATTTCTGGCTTTTACATGAAGGTACTAGCTTGATGTAAAAGGAAAAAAAGCACAAGAAAATAAAGTTATGTCATTTTTCCCTTCCTGCTCCCTGAGAGAATTAATAAAATTCAGTTGACTCGTGTGGACCTTATTTTCCTCAGTAAATTTCTCCGAAACAAGAGAGGACATATGTTTGTTGCTAGTAGCCATGCAACTTAACTTGCTGTGCTATTAATCCTTCATCCAGCAAACTTTTACTAGGCATTAAGAACAAGTCAAAGTGTATTTTTCAAGGAACTTATGTCCTGTGTAAGAAAGAAAAAGTAAACAATTCTAAAACAGATATAGAATGAAATGATACATCTTATCTTTTTAGTCCTCATTAGTCTTGATGTATAGGAAGTAGTGGGCAGAAAGTCTTTGGATTGAGAGAGTAAAGAAGATTCACATGTGATATGATACTTGAGCTGAGTCTACATATGATAAACAATTGCTGGTCTCCATGAACCTTATGTTCTTAATGTCTAAGCATGTTTTGTTTGTCTCATTTCAGTGCTGGACCCAAAGGAGACAACATTTATGAGTGGAGGTCAACTATATTGGGACCCCCAGGATCTGTCTATGAAGGAGGGGTGTTCTTCCTTGACATTACCTTTTCACCAGACTATCCATTTAAACCCCCTAAGGTCAGTATGAAGTTTTCATCAATATGCATTTTTGTGTATGTGTGTGTGTGTGTGTGTGTGTGTGTGTGTGTGTGTATCTATACATACTTCCAAATATATATATATATGTGTAGGAGTGATATGTAGGAGTGGATGTCTTTTCTGTTAGACAACTTCCCAGGGATGATTGTTTATAAAAGGGAGTAGAATGTAAAAATTATAGGTCATTCTTCTCCAACCTTACCCCTTTATTCATATTCATTGCCTTTTTCCCTCATCATTTCTGTCTCCTTTCTCTAGTATATGTTTTAATGTAACATAAAACAGCATGTTTTGGGTAGAAGCAGGGGGATGAGGTTAGCCATTTCTAGCCCTCAAGTTAGAATACAAACCATGACCCAAAACTGGAGTGAGAACCAAGCCCAGGAGACAGAGTAAAGATGGAGGGAGCCTTACAAAGGTAAGACCAGCTATGAGAATTCAAGTTTTCATGCCTCCACCACTCAGCTGCTCACATGAAGTCCACATGCTCTAGAACACAGTGTTAGCCACAGAGACTTAACAGTCATGCCAAGAAAAATCAGGGAAGAAATATTTAAAATGGCCCATTAATACAAAAATTATATATGAATGACTAAAGAAAGTACAAAAGTACAGTATAATCAAAACGTGGGAGGGGCCTCCCCGGTGGCGCAGCGGTTGAGCGCTGCGTTGCGAAGCTGCCCGCAGCCTGTGCAGCACCGGTTCGATCCCCGGCTGCTCCCCGGCCACCAGAGGAGGGTCCCACATGCCGCGCAGACCTCTCCTGCCGCCCGCTGCTCCCCTCAGCAGTGTACTTCGGTCCTTCTGCCTGCTCTGCTCCCCACTCTGGCTCTGGTGGATTCTCTCACCCTCCCGGTGGATTCTCTCACCCTCCCGTGCTTCTGACTGTACCCAGTGCATGTATAAACAAAACAAACAAATAAATAAATAAATAACATGCTTCTAAAAAAAAAAAGTGGGAGAATTTTCACTTACTTAAACCAAGTTATATTCATTAAGAATTCTTTACATTCCTTTGTACTACCTGTAAGCCTGCCATTTGACAAGTTTAAATTTGATCTCCACTTTGAAAAGGAAGAGCCCCGAGAATACTGACTGTACATTGGCCACCAAGAAAGAAGTCTCATTTGAACCAATTTAACCTCTCAGTGCAGAGAGCAGTAAAACTTATTTGAATTATAGGTGTCGGTTAACTATTTTAAAGAACAAAAATAAGGCCAGACTTCACCATGACTTTCTGCATTCCTCTCTTCCACCTTCCCTCTGTTCCCTCTCTCCACCACCCTCTGTTCTTTCCTTTCCATGGATACTTGAATATTGTTTTCATATCAAAACAAAAGGTAATAATTATCCTTATTTTACCAAAAAGGATACGAAGGCTCAGATAAACTAAATAATATTATGCAGCAAGCAAATAGCAGTATCAGGATTAGAACTCTGGAAGGCTGACTCCAAAGCCCTTGTTCCTTACTACAGTACATAGTACATTTTTCCAAGCTGACAGGACTGCATTGCATAGGTTTTTCAGTACAAAACCATAGTGTATCTAATTCTTATTTAGTGTATCTAATTCCTTAACTGGATGGGAACCATATGTCTTCCAATACTACTTTGAACCAGCCCTGTTGCACTGCCAGTAATGCGTGGCCCTTCTCTGACAGCCTTTTCAGTAAATGAAGTACAGAGTAGGGAAGCTCAGATCAGGTAGTTGTGCTACTTGTAAGTCTGATGTAATCTCTTCTGTGAATTATACAAGTCAGAAAATGTGGGGCTTATCCAAGTTCTGCATGAGAGAAATGTACACATTAAATAAAGTTTGAAGAGAAGGCTACAAGACAGAATTTAATACAACAAAATATGTAATTTGAGGTTCTAAAAAAAACATGACACAACAGCAAAGAATGCCTTGCTTTATTTTCATATCAGTTAAATTTGGGGACTTCACGTGGGCCCCAATTCTGTGGGAGCCTGTGGTTCTTGAAGTCTTAAAAGAGACATTTTTAAGATTCAAAACTCTGAACCAGTCACACTGTCTCTGGAGTGCTGGATTCACTTCCACGCTCCTTGTTTTATCAAGAATGATAAAACAAGGCTCAAAACACTATAGTGGGCATCAGCTATACCAGTTCATTTATTCTCCAAAACACCTACATAAAGTCAGAGTGTTCGCATCCATAGATCAGGAAGCACAGGTGAAGCTTAGAGGGCTTTTCTAATAACATGCAACCAAGGCTCTACTGAATGGTCATTCCAGGGACCATGTACTGCCCATTAAATTATATGCAGTCACCCTGGAGATGTTTATTATTAAAATAGGACATGGGAAGAACGGGCTATCTGTCTTCAGGAACTGTGGTCTGAGTTGGGACTAGATTTTGTCCTGGATGGTTGGATAGGACAAAAATAGAAGCAGAAGGGTGTCAGTTACAGAGAAGTAAATTGCAATTCTATATGAGGAAAATCTGACCTACAGTTGGACATGCTGCTTTTGAATAGTTCTACTTCTGATATACTGGGCTTCCCTTTGTTGGGAGTGTTCAAGAACAAGCTGAATGTAACCAAAAAAAAAATTAAATTCTCTGACTGAATGAATTTCATTAGACAATCTCATAGGACAAAGAAAAATCAAACTTTGATAACTCAAATCACAATTTAAATGCACATGCACATGTAATAGAAACCAATAGGAAGTTTTTCAAAGCAAATTATCACTACCTAATTTTTCAGTTTTATAAATCAGATTTTGTAGATAGCTGTATTACCCTAAGGCAGGAAAGTTTGTCTTGAAAGGTGGTAACTAAAAAAAATACTTTTATTAGTAGTAGTTTTGAAGTTCCATTCCCAAGCCTCCTACTTTCCTATTACTCTAAATTGTCTGTATTTGGGGTTAAGTCTGGCTTTTTTTCTCTCTTGCCCTTATCCTTTTGTTCTTTTTCCAAATCCCTCTGCCACACATTTTGATTCATGCAATATTTCCCAATACTATGAAAAAATGAATCGGGTAGCACTAGCTGTTGAAGAGAAATAATGGTGAAAACAGAGGCTCACAAATAAATTTGACTATTAATGATAATCATATATCCATGAAATAAAAATAGTCTATAGCATGATTGGATCTGTTGAATCACTTTTCCCAGACTCATATTTAAAATCCTTGGTGAGGACTTTTTAATGCTATTGTGTTCAATGTATCACTTAAAAGACAGTACCATGATTTGGATGCCTCTTATTGCCACAGGAACTTCTGGGAGGAATAGGGCTTTATCAGTTTGAACATCTCACGCGCCAGTAACTAAATTTTTAAAATCAGACACCAGTTATAATTTCTTCCGGAATTCACATAAATTTTAATAAGGAAGGAAAACCATTAATTAAGTATATAATCTTCATTAAACTTGGTATACTAGTTTTAAATATGTCAAGTACTAGTTGTACTTTCAAGTACTAGTTACTGCATGTTTTAGTGTAAGTATGCCAAATTTAAGCCACAACATAATTTTACTGTTTCAAAGTGTTTGAAGTAATTCATTTCAAAAGTTGAAGTTATTTGATAGCAAATCTTTAGTTGAGTAATTAATCACAATGATAATATTACTACTCTGGGAAAACATCTTTTTACAATGAGTGTTTTTATCTAGGAATAATTCACTATGGCCAAAAAAGAAACACATAATTTTAATTGCTGATGTGTACCCCCAATTTTTTAATGCTGTATTTATTTTGGAGTGTAGACAAACAAATGTTATAATTCAAATAACTGAATTATATTATTTGTGAAGTAGAAATTGCTTTATGTCTTATTAGGGATGACATTTTCTTACTCATTAAAGATATTTCTTTCATACTTTTTAATTTTAAGTCTAATGTGTAAATATTTAATGTTTTTAATTTTGCAGTTACGTGTTTGTTACAAACAAAAAATAATTGCAGATAAGCCAAAGAAAAAAATTTTAATTTTCTATAATCCTAATCCCAACATTACTTTTTCATGACTTTTTCTATGTCTCTTGAGATTTTTGTTCTCTGAAAATGTGTATTAATATGTTTGTATGCATACTACTTTTAAACCTAACATCGTGTTTTCACCCAACACTATATTTCCAACTTCAACAAATATGTAACTACATTACAATTAGAGAGACTACCTAGTATTTCATTGTATAAGTATGCCAAATTTAATTTCCCGTGACTGGACATCTTAATTTAAACTCTTGCCAAATTTTCTGTTATAATCAATGACATGTAGAACATCCTTATAATTACATGTTTTGTGAACCTTGTAATTATTTGTTGAGCCTAAATTTGTTGTCCTGGAACATATGGATAAGTGGGTTTACACACATTTGTGAAGTTTTGATAAAGGTTGACAAAATGCCCTCCAGAAAAATTGTATCAATTTATATCATGACCATCAATATAGGATAATATAGTGTTTCCCTACATTGTCCCCTAATCGTATTTAATCTCTGCCAGTCAGAGAGATGAAAAGTGGTATCTCATGGTTACTTGAACTGGTATTTATTTCACTGCCAATGAGATGTGGAATATTTTTTGTGTATACTGTTGTCTAATTCTTATTTTATGAATAACAGGAAAGTGTTTTTCTTAAAAGCCCAAATGAAATAAAACAGACAGTTGTGTTTAAAAATTTCAGAAGAAAGTAAGAGAATATATTGTATTCCTATGTTTTGTTTTTTTCTTTTTGAAAATCTTGTGAACCTTGTGTCTAATGTTACGTGTCTCAAAGAGTAATAACATACATGAATAACTCATTTATTACAGCTCGCAAATACTGCATTGTTTACATATAGAAGGTTTGTAGCAACCCTGTATCCAGCAAGTATATCAGAGGGTTTTTGTCAAGAACATATATTCATTTCATGTCTCTGTGTCACATTCAGTAATCTTCAGAATATTTCAGCCTTTTTTATTATGGCTGTTGTTTGTTTGTCACAGTGATCTGTGATCATTGTCTTCCA